ACATATTGATTTCAGGCAGGACAAATCTGGCATGTTTGCTGGGCGAAAGCAAGAAATGGAAAAGGCCATACATTTTTTTTCGGTACATAGACGGTGAATCAACTTTGGAACACCTGGCAGAGAAACCTTTCCCAAGCGTGTACATTGGTATTGTTACTCCTTTCAATGGCAAATGACATTTGTCATTTTCATACAGGGCGTTCGATCACTCCGATATGTGCTATATACATTTATATCTGTTCAGCTGACAGTACACACCGTTTCGTCCTTCAGCGGTACTGTGATTTACTTTGAAATAAATAGTTTTTCATTCGGTTTAAGTGATCCTTTTTCAGCTATGTTCCTCCGTGACACGTGACCCACAACCGTTAAGTGGCTACCTTCTTTCTGATTATCCTGAGAGTTGTTCAGTACCGGATAAAATGCTCATGAAGTATGTTCAAGTAATGGATATCGTTACAGCGCGCAGTTGTCATTCATGTTGCTTTACGAAAGGGTAAATATATTTGCTTTACGTTTGTTTCTTTCAGTTATTATGCCGAGTGTTTTAGGTATGGCAGATACGCGAAGGGTACAGGTTCGATCATTCAGTGTAACTCGGAAGTTGAGGTAAGTGGTAAGTTAGCCAATGACTCATAAAATCAGAACATCTTCAGTATGCTGGCAGCATTACCTAAGGTGTAAAACGAAATTTCTGACGTCTCACATGTAAAAATTTTCGTACTCGGAGCGAGCCATTGCATATATCCAGTTCATGAACTACTAGCTGTTTACTGTTCTTCCAGCAGTCTCGGTTGGTAGGTCCCATTTGTAAAATGAATTAAACAGTTTTCTTTCCACAGTACGGTCTATGGCCATTCGGTGGGCCGTTTGGGCGCGAGGCGTGTCGGCGCCGTCGATAATCATTGTCAACGTGCAGTCCTGTATCGCGAGTTTGAATATATATGATTTTACTGTGGTGACCTCCGTGAACTGTAATATCTGACCCATCATGCTACATATCCATAAAAGGCTCCCCGTTAGCATAATGCTAAATTTCTATCAAATTACTGAACTTTTAAGATATCCGTTATATTTTATGATTCAGTTTTTCATCATTTATGTATTAATTAATGCTCTCAATGAGTACAGTACTAAAAGTCTGTCAAATTAGTGAATTTCGAGAATCACTGTTTTGTTTTATTACGGCAGGATTACGCTAGTTCCTTAATTCTTTTTCACTTCGCTAAGTTAGCGACTATGTTCTGTATAATTTGTTATGCTTAACTCTATGTCCTTTGTGGCTTATATTATCATGCTACATATCAGTGGGAGAACACAGCACGAATCCACTATTAAATTTATGAATTTCCAATACTTGTTTCATTTTGTTCCCTCTTAACTGCACAAGGTCATTAATTCAAGGCGCAATAATATTGTAGTCACTGTAAACTGACACCATCCGGGCAGATCCGTTCCACTGTCACATTTCCAACGCTGTTCATATTAGGTACGCGAATTGTACCGGAGTACGGGAAAAGTGAGCCGTTGATTGTGTCGAGTATGTTCGCAGTATCGCTTTCAAAACGAGACCGGAAGAAGTCTTCGTCAGAGGGCTGTTGCTGTGTCTTTGACAGGAATAGTGCTGGCGGAGCAAAGAAATTTTGGCGCTGTGAACAGACGGGATCGATGCGAAGCAAGGGTACATACAGCAGCTAGGGTACATGTGTTGTCGTGAAGATCGGTGAACATCTGATGATAGTTCAGCAGCGGATGTGGAAATGGCAGAACTTGTGACTGGAATCGCCCACGTAAATTACAAACCTGTGTGGGGTTGGATTGTCCCACGGGTTCAGGGTTCACTTCAAAATCTTCGAAAACAGGAAAATTTTGATGTGAAAAAGAAATGAAACGAAGCTGCTCTACTGGCTCCTTTAAATCTAGAGGCACTAATTCTGCCGGATTCATATACAAATATGAACTGTAGCCAGGTGTCTTTGAATCGTTCTTGATTAGTGGCATTGGACCTGGACCCAATCGAATATTGATTTTGGGCATGCAGGGAAACCTGCAAATCTTGCAAGAATTAAAAACGTGATTTTTCTACACCATGACTGTTCTCTCAAGTTTATACAGTGCTAGCGGAAAGATTTTGTGGTGTCCACCTGTTGTACACGCATTTTTGATAGACTAACAGACAACGATGTACAACATGCTCTTTCAGTTGTTAAAGGCAGCTGTACCGGAACTTGAAATTCCAATTCGATTTCTTGTAACTTCGAACCTGCGCCGATGCATGCAATGAAGAATGCATTCCCGGATGTTAAACTTCGTGGATATTTCCACCTTGTGAATTACAACATGAAAAAACATTCGTAAAAACTGCATTTGCTCGCCGATACTAATTTCCCCCTGAAAACGAGAATAATAACAGCATTGACGTTTGTACCCATTGCTGCACTGGATGAAGCAGTTAACTGACTGGCTGAAGAACTCCTCGACGAACTGCAGCCTCTCCTTGGATGGTTCGAAGGTTTACGTCGGTCGCTTCAATCGTAGAGAAAATGCGAGATGTTCATCGCTGTTTCCACCTGAAATATGGTCAGTTTACCATAGGGTGATCAACATCGCACAACTACGCAGAAGCAGCTCGGCGACTAGTTCAGACCGAGTTGCGTGCGAATGTAACGTATGGAAACTAATTGATGGGCTCGTCCCATTTCGAGCCAATATTATGTCATAGTTGCGAATGAATGTGGGCAGAACCTCTCCATTATGCAGATTATAGGCCAAAATATTTTTCCAGATAGATTTAGTCCTAAAGGCGTGAGAAATGCCTGCTCTGATTAGCATTGCTTCATTAGTCTGCTATTTTTGCATTAATGATAGCCCTACACAGTTACGATTACAGCTGAGGAGAGCAAAGTCAGTATAGTTTCGTGTTTAAGCTTTCGATCTTGCTTTGTGCTTTTCAACCGTTCTCAACGACGTAAAACCGAGCTGCATTTTTGAAAAGCACTTTTGGTGTCACAGTGGTCAACTGCTTTCGAAATTTTGTCTCAGAGTTATCTCTCAAGGCTCATGGCCATAAAGCACAAAATTTATATGATTCAATTGATAATACTATTCAACAAAGCTTATTTCTATCTTTCTGGAGCAACAAAACTGCAAAGTTTTTAACTGATGCTGATCTGTAACCCTGAAATCGCGAGAGTTAAGGCTACGG